GCGACGATCGAAAAGAAGTACAACAACGTTGCAAAAACATGCCTGGCGTACGTCAAGACATTGTCGAGAAACTGCAGCAAATGGTTCATGAGCACCACATTTATGTTGATCTTTTCAAGACTGCCCTTCAAAGAATGCCAACAGATCAATACAAGGTGCTTATTCGAGCAGACATGAAACCTGTTGGAGAGCATGCACGTCGTTTCAATGAGCCAGTGACAAATGAGGTGGCGGTTGTCATCGCTGGCAACGACTTCGAGAAACAAGATATTGTCTTGGAGCAGAAAAATGGCCAGTTACAGAGAGTATCTGAGACACACAGGTCGTATGATACCTTGCAATATCCTCTCATCTTTTGGAAAGGTGAGGATGGCTACCATTTTCTTATCGAACAGACTGATCCAACAACTGGAATGGCTGTCACTGGCAAAAAAGTATCGGCTATGAGTTTTTATGCTTACAGAATTATGGTACGAACTGGTGCTGTCAATCATATCTTACAGTGCCGACAACTTTTCCATCAGTATGTGGTTGACATGTACGCTAAGATCGAAAGTGAAAGATTATCTTTTCTACGTTATAATCAAAAAAAGCTTAGAGTGGATGAATACATTCACCTGAAAGATGCTATAGCCAATGATGGACGAGCTGACAATCTTGGTCAATTAGTGATTCTACCAGCAACTTTCACTGGAAGTCCCCGGCACATGCATGAATATACACAAGACGCCATGACTTATGTAAGAAACCACGGAAGACCCGACCTCTTTATAACATTCACCTGCAATCCTAAGTGGCAAGAAATTCAAGCAGAATTAATGGAAGGTCAAGCTCCCTCTGATCGTCATGACCTATTAGCAAGAGTGTTCAGACAAAAGCTCATTAAATTGGTCAACATTATTACCAAAAGCCATGTATTTGGGCCAACAAGATGCTGGATGTATTCTATTGAATGGCAAAAGAGAGGACTACCACATGCCCATATTTTGATATGGTTGAAGAACAAAATTAAAGCAGATCAAATAGATAGCGTGATCAGCGCAGAACTACCTGATCCTGAACGAGATCCTCGACTATTTGAAATAATTATCAAGAATATGATTCACGGTCCATGTGGAAGTATCAATCCAAACTCTCCGTGTATGGAAAACAAAAAGTGTACAAAAAGATATCCAAAACAACTCTTGCATGATACAGAAACCGGTGACGATGGATATCCATCGTATAGAAGAAGAAGTTCAGAAGATGGTGGTATCAAAGCCAAAATCAAAATGAGAATTAATAACTCCATTCAAGAAATCGAAATTGACAACAAGTGGGTTGTGCCATATTGTCCACTACTCTCTCGGATCTTTCAAGCCCACATTAATGTGGAATATTGCAACTCGGTAAAATCAATCAAATACATATGCAAATATGTCAACAAGGGCAGTGATCAGGCAGTGTTCGGTTTGGGAAGAGATGGAGCACCAGTTGATGAAATTAGTAACTACCAGTTAGGTAGATACATCAGTAGCAATGAAGCAGTCTGGCGAATCTTGGATTTTCCAATTCACGAACGATATCCAACCGTTGTTCATTTGGCTGTTCATTTGGAAAATGGTCAACGCATTTATTTCACCGAAGATAATGTTCATGAGAAAGTTAATGAACCACCAAGAACAACACTAACAGCATTTTTCTTACTCTGCCAGAAAGACGACTTTGCCAAAACGCTGTTGTACTGTGATATTCCAAAATACTACACATGGAACGCGTCTGAAAAAGTGTTTAAGCGACGTGTTCAAGGAACTGCTGTGCTTGGCTATCCAGACATTAGAGAAGGAGATGCATTGGGTCGTGTTTACACTGTGCATCCTAATAATTTCGAATGCTTTTTCCTACGACTCTTACTTCATGTGGTCAGAGGCCCTACTTCATTTGAAGCTCTTCGAACTGTAAACGGTCAGATCTGTGCAACATTTCGTGAAGCGTGTCAATTACATGGATTACTGGAAGATGATCAGCAATGGGATGCCACCATGTCCGAAGCAGCTGCAGCTCAATCGCCAGCAAGATTAAGAAATCTATTTGCTCTTATACTAGCTGTTTGTGGACCATCCAATCCAAAACAATTATGGGAGTCGTACAAAGAAAGCTTGACTGAAGACATTCTGAGAAATGCTCGCAGGCAAAATCCTGGAATGAATTTGGATTATACACCAGATATGTTTAATCAAGCACTGATTATTATTGAAAATAAAGTTTTAGAGATGGGTGGCAAAGAACTTGAGAAATTAGAGCTCCCAACTCCTCAACGAAATTCGGGTGATCGATTAAACAGTGCAATGCTCAGAGAAACAAGTTATGATGTGAAAGAGTTGGATGCTTATATAACAGCAAATGAGCCACTGTTGGTGCCGGATCAGAGAGCTGCATACAATGCGATTTTGGATCAGATCGAGAAGAAAGCTGGTGGAATAATCTTCCTTGATGCACCTGGTGGAACAGGGAAGACATTTGTCATTAATTTGTTATTGGCTAAAATCCGGTATCAGTCAAAGATTGCGATTGCGGTCGCCTCTTCCGGTATCGCTGCTACGCTGCTTCACGGTGGTCGTACTGCGCACTCGACATTAAAGTTACCTCTTAAGTTTTTGGAAAATCAAACTCATGTCTGTAGTATTACCAAAGGAACTGGCGAAGCAAAGGTTCTGCAAGAATGTGAACTTATTGTATGGGACGAGTGCACAATGGCTCATAGGTATGCATTAGAAGCTTTGAACCATACTTTACAAGATCTTCGTAACAATGGAAAGAATATGGGTGGAGTAGTTGTACTTATTGCTGGCGATTTTAGGCAAACATTACCAGTTATTCCAAAGGGTACCATGGCTGATGAGCTAAAAGCTTGCTTGAAATCTTCGTATCTTTGGAGACATGTTGTACCATTAAAACTCAGTACTAACATGAGAGTGCACTTACGAGGTGACGTATCTGCCGGCCGTTTCGCTGAACAACTTCTCGCAATTG